TCTGGGATCACTAGAGTATTCCCATTACTGCCCGGGACTATAGTAGTCCAGAATAAACACGTTCACTGTCACATTACTGCTCAGAGACGGAGTTCCAGAGTCTGTAGCCACAACAAAGAATTGAAATGTTTTTAAAGATTCAAAGTCAAAGCTCCTCAGTGAGTAAACGGTACCATTCGCCTCATTAATACTCAGGAAAGATGTCACGCCTTGGTCTGAATTCATTCGATCAATTGAATACGATACACGTGCGTTTTCACCTTCATCTATATCAACTACACTTAATGAGAAAACGGCATTTCCTGGTTTGTTGTTTTCAGCCACGTAGAATGTATATGGGCTTTGAGCAAATGTGGGGCTGTTGTCGTTAACATCAGTGACATCGACGTGAATGGATCTTGTTTATGTTAACGACGGAGTTCCTAAATCTTTGGCTGTTATAGTGATATCATAAGACGATTTCGATTCTTTGTCAATGTATTCTTTAGTTACCAAAGAATAAAAGTTCCCATCAGGCGACGGCTTGAGGTCAAAAGGAATATCCTTAGGCAGAGAGAAAACCATCTTTCCGTTCATACCTGAATCCAGGTCTGTAACTCCCATCAAAGCTACTACAGTCCCAGGAGGCGCATCCTCCGAAATGTGGCTGGACACTGAAGTGACTTCAATCTCAGGCCGGTTGTCGTTGACATCCTCAACATTTACAAGCACATTACACTGTGTAGACAAAGATACGGTCCCCTTATCCGCAGCCAGTATCTTTAGCTCATAAACCTGCCTTTCCTCAAAATTTCGCCCACCTTTTATCTTTAATTCCCCCGTCAAACTATCCAAATCAAAAACCTCAGATGCTCCGTTCCTGAACTTGTTCCGTAAAGAGTATTCAATTTCTCCGTTCAGTCCTTCATCTGAATCTGAAGCATTAACGCGCAGCAGAAATGTACCTTCAGGGGCATTTTCTTTTACTGTTACTGTGTATTTTTGCTTATCACAAACTGGGGCATTATCATTGATGTCCGACACAACAATAGTAATATTTACAGTAGTTGATTTCTGTAGCTTGCCACCGTCCGTCGCAGTTAATATTAGGTTATGTCTTGCGATGTTCTCTCTGTCAAGAGGTTTTTGTAAAATGAGAACAGGAATCTTACCTTCTTCTCCCATGTCTTCCGTTTCTAAACGAAAATAAAGATTTTGGCTCAGTTTATATGATTGCAAGTCGTTTGAGCCTATATCCGGGTCGTGCGCAGTTTCTAACTGAAATCGTGCCCCTGTCATTGCAGATTCAAGTATTTCCAATTTATGGGTTTCGTCTAAAAAACTCGGTGGATTATCATTGACATCGATAATATCAACTGATATCTGGTGCATTTCGAGTGGGTTTTCTATCACTGCTTTGAGATGAATAAGACATGGGTTGGTTTTAGCGCACTGCTCTTCTCTGTCTATTCTCTGGTTCACAAACAAAGCGCCGTCTTCATGATTTATCCGAAAGAGCTCTTGCTTTGTCCCCGCAACGATACGTAAATTCCTGTTTTCCAGTAAAGCCGGGTCAGTCCCTAAATCCTTTGCAATGTTTCCCACAATGACTCCAGTTTTTGATTCTTCTCGAAGGGAATAATTTATCTGGGTAGCATTTCTTCCGGAATTGAACAGCAAACATATCAGATAAAAAATCTTGCTCATCCATATTATTTTATTTTCGCTTGCCATGCTTCCTCTGAACACCAATGAAAATAGTTTTAAGCAAATGTGGTCAACTCATGTATGCTATTCCAAATGACAAATTAACAGACAGATCTAACATCGTCGTGGTTGTTCATAGTTCAAAGCCAGAGTGATGTCTGACACGCCAGCCCACGAAGTGAACCTGCTCAACAGGACTGTTAGCGATGATTAGTATTGTAGCGCCACTCACAGCGATTTTGCAGAACTGCAACTTCCATCTTCTAGTGATGTTAATGAGTACCAACAACAACAACAACAATAATAATAATAATTATTATTATTTTAAAATAATATTATAAAGTTTACAATTTTAAAATTGAGGCATCACAACACCAAATGTACTAAAAGAGAACGAAATATCTCATTAGATTAAAAAAATAATAAAACTTTTTTGTATTTTTCCTTTCTTGAAATCCGCATTTAAATTATGCTTTATCATGCTTTAAAAGAATAAATGAGCTAGGATTTGTAAGTATGCAGTGTTCTAGTGTCTAACTGCATGGTGAGCAGTGACACCTTGTGGTTCAGTTACACGGATCACGTGACAAACTCGGCCCCACCCGCGTCGTTTGTTCTGTGATTCCTCCCACCGCAGCTGCTTACGTATGAGCGTTCCCATATCTGCGCTGGTCTGTGAAATCCAAACCACATATCAGACAAAAGACACCAGAGGGCAGAGCGAAGTGATTCACATCACATGCTCTTGTGAAGTGAAGATCAAATATACATATCAATCACACATGTTCATCAATACTTCTCCTATATCATAAAAAGGCAGTCATAGATTATTATACATTTCTGCGTTATATAGTGTGCTTGTTTAACATAGACTGCACAGCTATACGAGATCCCCGGATCTGGCGTGTTGAGCCTCACGTCTGTGCATCAAATTACAGGCTGCAGCATCATGCACCCCTCCCCGCCCGCAGTCCGTTACCGTGGCAACGGACATTTGGATAGGCGGGTCGCTGTCCGTGGTGCTGAACATTGCGGTCTCCTGAGGAAAGAGTGAATGAAGGGAGGGGTTTGGGAAGAACATAAGGAAGATCAAATAAATTCATCGCTCACGAAAGAAATCTCAGTAACAACACTGTAGCTTTTTTTATTAATTATTTTTACATATTTTACATTTTTTATCATTCCTTGTAAAATTATTCTCTCCTCTTTAACCCATGCTCCACCATCTATCTTTTACTCGGTCGCTATAGAGACAGGCTCCCGTTGCCTAGAAACCAGCAGTCAGCTGGATTGCTCAGATTGAGGCCTTTTTTCTCTGCAGTTTTTCAGGAAAGCATGGTTGTTTTGATGGTGACACAGTTAGCTGAATTGTAGTTCAGAGAAGGCCTGGCAATAGCGATCTTTGTGTGTGTGTGTGAACCTTCATGATAAAATGCTGAGGATAAATGTATATGACAAATGAAAACTGTGTGTGTGCGTGTGTGTGTGTACATGTTTTTCTATACTGGTGGGGACTTAAACCTGAATACACACCAACTCATGGGGACCTAAATTGAGGTCCCCAATGGGTACAGAAGCTTATAAATCATACAGAATTAGTTTTTTTTTTTTTGGAGATTGTAAAACTGCACAAAGTTTTCTGTGAGAGGTAGGTTTAGGTGTAGGGCGATAGAAAATACAGTTTGTATAGTATAAAAACCAATTCACCTATAGGGAGTCCCCACAAGGATAGTGAACCAGACTCTCTCTCTCTCTCTCTCTCTCTGTGTCTGCTGCAGCAGTTTTTAATGCTGCTGCAGTCTCTCTCTGTGTGCAGGCAGAGAGAAATCTGGGTCAGGAGGAAAAGAGAGGCAAAGAGTGGTTACTCTTTTTTTCCTATTTGTTCTGACCCACATCACAGAATCAGAACAAGGCAATAAGCCAGTCAGGGCAGTGGTTAATGCTTTATTATTTCTATGTACCATTTGTCAGAATTAACAGGAAAAAAAGAGTTTGTGATGATAATCCAAGTGTGGTTCCATCTAAATGAAAAAGCTGATATGAAATGTGATTTGTCTGATTATTTTCAATGCATTACATCATCTGCTGTGATGACCTCATCTTTACCCACCCAAACAAAAGCACACTCACCACCCCATACAGATCAAAAACATGCAAAGTTTCCACAATAGGTCACTTTGATTATATCACTGATTATCAGAAGTCAGATAAGTTATGATCATAAACACTGTGTTTTTCTCTTCCATGATTATAAGATAATCATAATGGTATACTGTACAAACAACATGTTTTTTTTTTTTTGTTGTTGTTTTATTCCAGTGCATGTGTTCAGTTGGGCTACAGGCGGATTGCTACTCACATACTGAGAAGTCATTTAAAACCTAAAAACATATTACTAATGCAATGTCCCATCACATCTTATGTACTTCTGGATTACATGGAGAATGACAGAAATCACATTAAGTTTTTATCTATTGTAAATATGCAGTACAAAAATATCAGCAGATAAGCATGAGCAAAGAGGGTCTGGTGAGTTTCTCTGAGGCAGATCATGGATGTGTACAGCTTTAGGAAAGCAGTAGAAAATGAATTTGAAAAACACATTTGCAAAACTGGATTAAGCTTAATTGGACAGAAGGGGAAATGAAGAAGAAACATATGGTACTACAGGGCATAAGACAGGGCAGTGCTGTATATAGGTAGTCCATTTTTATACCACAAAATGAGGCTTTTGGGTAAATTAATTCTAGCCAGTAAGAGACGAGTGACCTACTCATAGCTGTTCACACTGGCAGTCAATAAATCACAGAAAAACACCTTAATATTTTGTCATTCTACAAAAAAAATTTTTCTTTTTTTTCCCTCTGATTGCCTCAATGTTATTTTACAACACTGTCCATGTCTGAACATTAGCCAATCCTCTGAGACAGCCAGTTTAGAGCCTTGAAATGATTACTTCCTGTTTAAAATACCACATGTAAATATCCAGCATTTGTTCCTCCAAAACAGAAAATCTAATGCAAATGTATTATGTAATAGTGCATTGCTTTGACAAGACACACATGCTGTGCATTCCAGTCATTGAACTGACCCCATGACACCCTGACCTCTTGACCTGCCTGGGAAAACTGCCATATCCTCAGGAAGCTAGGAATAAATTACATTTCAGAAAGCCTGGAAACTATCAGAAAAACAACAATACCATACTGTTCACTGAAATAAAATATTGATGTCCATATATTGCACAACTGATATAGCCAGCAAATACAAAATATCAACAAAAAAAGCAACAATATGAAAGTTTATATTAATGCATTAATATTAATACATAATTTTAACACCAGAAAAAAAATGAAGAAAAAAAATAATATTTGGCTAGTGCATTTCAATGCACAATGCAGTGTATTTTCACTTGGCTTAACTGTCTTTTTTTTTCAAAGCATTTCCATGAATATTAAACATGTCATAACATCAGATAATTATACAGTTGATAAGTAAACATTAGCAGTTCTCATCTTTTCTTGTTTTAAAGTAAAAGTCACCCACCACCTTGAGTGCTCTTTATATTTGGCCTTATTTCAAAGATTTAGTGAAGTTTGATGGTCTTTATCTCTGAAATAGTGTGGTGTTTTTATAAAGGACAACAAGAAGGAACTCACTCTTTAACAGTCTCTATTAGAAGTCAGTGTTTTTTTTATCTGAGACAGAAATCTTGAGCATCAGGAAGTGGCTACTTAATGAATCTCCTAAACTCTTAGAAACCACTGTGACCATCAAATGTCCGCACTATGACATCACTGTGCTGTGTCTGCATTTGTGCATTCATGAATGTCACCAGTCACCACATAACTACAACAATACTCCACTCTTTCTGTGTCAGATCAGTGCTTAGATTTAACTTGATTCTTTACATACTGAAACTCAAAAATACCGAAACAAACAGTAACACAGACATAATACAACACTACAGAGAAGAGACTATAGACTATACGGCACAACAAATCGAATTTGCTGTGACCTCTTCTGAATACACTGGATAACACTTGCATTATTCTGATAGAAGTCTTTATGAGATCCAAGAAAACACATAAGAAAGGCTTTATACATCTGTTGCAGGGAAAGAGAAGCTTTCAATGTCCAAATTCAGTCTAGCAAAAGCTCCGCACTCCATCTCTCAACATGGCAGAATCATTTAATCCTCTTTGTGCTTGTTTAATATCATCCACATTGCAAAAAAAGTCCATTTGTCATTAGTATCTCTATATTTTCTAGTAAAAATATCTAAACATGCTTGAAACCAGATATATTTACATCAGTAATAAAATGCAAAGATATTAGTGCTTTTCAGAGCATGAATGAGTGACTTGATTTTCAGATTTTAGTTTAGTTGAGGTTTACACAATGTTTGCTTATGCTGTAAATTAATCTTATTGCAAGCATTTTTAGATAATTTTACCAGAAAATAAGACAAAACCACTGATTAAGAATTCTTTTTTTTTTTTGCAATCCAGTGTCCACGTCAGTTCATGTGAGAATATTCTGTTAATAATTTATCTTTGTCTTTACCAGTCACTAAATATAATGAAGATCTAACATGGCGCTTTAACCATGCAAACATAAGCATACTGGATTTGCAGAAAAGTTTCTTTGATAAAGACATGAGCTGTGCTGTTTGAAGATATGAATTTGTGTGTGTGTGTGTGTGTGTGTGTGTGTGTGTGCGTGTGTGTGTGTGTGCGTGCGTGCGTGCGTGTGCTCACAGATCCAGTCCATGCCCAATCCTGACCGGTCAGGTGTAAGAGTGTCTCTTAGTATCATAGGCAAAAGATCTTCCGTCATTCCTCTGGTCAGATCAACAATGAGCTTGTTAGGGAAAGTGAGGGCAAACTCTCCGAACATTGACATGAAGCTGTAGGCATCACTCAGGGTTGGTTTCATCTCTGTAGGATGGTGCAGGTGAATATGATGGATACAGGTGGACAGACATGCAGGTTGATGGAACGTTTTTCATACTTTGCTCCGGCAATACGGTTGGGAGGATCCTTAGCTGGAACTGCTGCTGGTGGTGGTGGACGCCTGTCAACGAGAAAGAAAAACTGGACGTAAGAACCTAAACTTCAAACATTATTCACTTAGTGATAGGCCAGAATCTGAACACATCTCATGCAACCAAGGCCTGTCACTTAAAGGCTTCAGGCAAAACAGAAGGTGGAACCTTGGTTTGATTGACAGGTGACGGAGGGGTGGTTTGATCAATGAGAACCATGCTCAGATATCAGGTGAGGGTGGTTGGGGTGATGGAAGGGCAGCGAGCTGAAAACTGGGTGGTTGTAATTCGTTTTGCATCATTCTGATTCATTTGTGAAGAAAAATTCAACAGAACCAGTATGTGAAATTGGAATCCACCAGTCAATTCACCATCCATTCAAACATACAAGTAGACAAACCATCCAACAAACAGGCTGAGGAGCTCATAATGATGTTTAGTAGATGAACAATCAGTACATATATCATTAAAACCCACATCATGCACTAGTGCCATATTTGCTAAAAACACTCTTCCTAAATACGTAATTCTGCCATTTACTAACCCGTCTGTCATTTCAAAACTGACTTTTTCGTCTGTGGAACACAAAAAGAAAAAATGCCCTGGATGCTTTTTTTCAGACTATGAAAGTGAATGAAAACAGATGGTGTCAAGAAAATTTAAAGTCAAGAATCAGTTGGTTTTTAATATTTTTTTGGAACTTTACAGCTTCCATTCCTTGTCACTTTCATTGTAGAGAAAAAGAGCAGCATAAACATTCTTCCACGAAACAAAGAAAATCATTCAAATTTGGAAAGACATGAGGGTGAGTAAATTATCCATTTTTACTTCTGGGTGAACTTTCTTTAACCGATTAAGGAATGCATTTGAGCAACATTTTCACCCCGAGCCACTGTCAATCAAACCACAGAGAATCAGAGTTATCATTAGCACTTCTGCTGGTCACAGGTGTCTATAAAAGTTGGGTTTTGTGAGGCTGCATAACATAATTTGTAGTGAAGAAAAAAAAACTGCGGGTTTCAGTTTTGAGTTCCACAAGTGGGGAAAAAAATACACACGTTGTGTTCATAAATACTGCAACGTTTAAACCTGTACATCTAAAAAGCTCAGAAGACCAAGTGAAATGTCGAACTGAGTGTTGATGTTGACCTGTTGAAGCATTTATCTGCATCTAAACTGAATAAAACTGATTTGACTTCAGTTGAATAAATAGGTTCATTGGCTCCTCCTACAACAGGACAAGGCAAACTCCACTGACAAAAATCACCAACCACAAAGAGAAACACACAGAGTCACATATATTTCAGTAAAGGTCAGTGGGTCCTGGGATCAGGCGCTCCAGAAATCGAGAGAATGATGAAGTCAGGACTGCATACCTCCAGCGGGAGAAGGGACCTCGTTCATTTTGAGTACTTTAAAACGGAAACAAAAACAGAGACATACATTTCAATATTTAGCTTTCAGCACAATCATTTTGATGAATTTCACTGAACACTTTTCTGTCAACAAAACCTCAATCCACATTGATTTTAACTTATCTATATCAGTCTAAGCATGGTGTAAAAGATCTACGGTGCATTAACAAATCAAATCAAGAAAATAGGTTGTTGTCCTCTCCTTGTTGTCTGAATTATCGGGGACTCCAGGTAACCTGAGATACAATGTGAGAAATGTTAAAGCATAACAAATGAAGGAAAACAAACTACATCATGCAATTCACTAAGAAGCACTAAGAATGAGAGAATGAGAGGAGAGACAGATTAAAATACATTGTTTACATGAAAAAAAGACTGCACAAAAATAATAGGGAAAGTTAAAAACGTTCTAATTTTGTCTTTCAAATAACTTACCTGTCCTTCAGGTAACACTCTCTAACAAAAGAGAACAAGTTAAAGAAATGCTACAAAAAAAAAATATCATAATCATACAAATAAACAAAACCTGATGCATATTTAAAAATAGCAAGTGCTTAAATTCAAATGTATCATGTTCAGTAAAGAAAAAAAAAAAGTTTTTGGATAATTAAGCCACACTTTTAAATATAAAAAAAAAATAATACTTTATTTATGCAATAAAACTCAAAAATGGTATGAGCTATCTACTTAAAAAATTATGGTAACAATATTACACATAATATTTTTGAGTATTTTTTAAGACTTTTTAATGGAATCTACCTGAATAAATCATGTAAAATCTCCTAAATTATTTAATCGATGGCACAATGATTTTAATATTATTAATGAAATGTGCTAATTTATTTTAAGTTGATTCTCAAAAGTCCTTTTTTAAGCTATCTACTTAAAAAATTATGGTAACAATATTACACATAATATTTTTGAGTAGTTTTTAAGACTTTTTAATGGAATCTACCTGAATAAACCATGTAAAATCTCCTAAATTATTTAATCTATGGCACAATTATTTTAATATTATTAATGAAATGTGCTCATTTATTTTAAGTAGATTCTCAAAAGTCTGTGATTTAGTGATGAGTAAGGCCTGTTTGTATTTGGCTTTCTGAGTTATTTTGTACAATTAAAATACTGTATATAGCCAAATAGCTCAGGAAAAACTTTACTGCAGTAGCATTAGCAAAGCTACTGCTGATTGAACAAAGCCTCATGCCTCACAGTGTTAGTACATGCAGTTATCCATAACCATAAGCTCTACTCTTCTGCACAATGGTAACAACAGAAACTTCAACTTAACAGAAACTCTTTCAAATGTCAAACATAGCTGAATATTAAACATTAATAGATGTTTCCCTTTACTCAAAAACAAATAAAGTAGCACTTAATTTCAATATTTACTCTCCATATCCAGCCAAATGCAAAGCATGCTGGGAACTAACAATCACAGCCAAAATAAAACTGCAAAATTGAGCTAATTCTCTTAAAATAAATAGATAACCTTCTTTCCTTATTTTTTTTTTTAAGTTTAATAAATTTTTTAATTCAAGCCTCAAAACTGCTTAAGTTTCCTTAAAAAATATTAGAAAAACATAATCTCTTGGTTTTATTAGTGAAAAGTTCTCAATATTTTCTATACAACACTGAATCACAATTTCTTTAATAAAATATACACACTATTTTTAATTATTACCTTATTTTTTTTTAATGAAAATTACAAAACCCATGATTCATTTTTTACAGTGAAGTAGCAACAGCCAGTGTGTGATTTAACTATCTAAATATTATTGGGGCCACTGTAGTTTGCTTTTGTGTGTGTAGAGGAGCCGCTTTGCTGTGTGTGTGTGTGTGTGTGTGCGCATGTGTGCGCATGTGTGCGTGTGTGTGTGTTTGCGTGTGTGTAAAAAAAAACTTGGAACATGAGAGACAAACATAATATAATATAATATAATATAATATAATATAATATAATATAATATAATATAATATAATATAATATAATATAATATAATATAATATAATATAATATAATATAATATAATATAATATAATATAATATAATATAATAATATAATATAATATAATATAATATAATATAATATAATAAAGAGATTTAAGCACAAATTTATCACAACATTTGTGAACATCAGAACTGCAGCTGAAATGGCAACAGCAGGTCAGAAAAGTAGGTCAACCAGCTCTGAGAGAGAAGCAACAGGTCACAATACACTTGCACAAATTTACACTTCGTACACACACACACACACAGAGAGACAATCTCTTTTTCTCTGTGGCAGCAGCTCAGCTAGAAGGAAGCTGAGAGTATATGTACAACAGGTAAGATTTATGGGGCTGTAGAATTGTAGAATCAGAATAAACAGCAAAAACACACATAAACATTTGCAAGAAGGCAATGCTCACTTCTGTCATTTTGTCTGAACAAATATAAGCATAAATATTTGGGTAAATATACAAATATGTTTATGTGAACTTTTAAGACAAGAAAATTAAATTTAACTGATTGTAAATAAAAAGAACAGTACTGGATTGAGTCAAAAAGAAATTTTACAAAGAGAAAAAGAAAAAAAATGCATATAAAAACCCCTAAAGTACAATAGAAGATGTGCTAAGAACGACTGAAACACTCCCATTTCAACTTCAGCATAACTTCACAATATGGGAAGTTGGAAAATATGATGTGAATGTGTACTTGAAAGGCAGAAGCTGAAAATAAGCATCTCAGAGAGAATAATGTGGGCTTATAAAGTGTTTGGCTAAAGGTTGAAAAGTCAAACTGTATACCGTAGTCTGGCTTCTTTGAAGAAGTAGTTCACCTGTTGACGGTATGTAAGCCTACCTGTAGTGTAGATGCAGCTGAGTCGCTGGTGTCGGTCAGTCCTGTGCTCCTCGGTAAACTGGACACGATGTATCTCGCTCCCTTTGGCACAGGCTGTCTGACCACCAGCTTTCCTTTCCTGGTCTCTGCTAGAAATAAACTGTACCAGTAGGCATCGTTGGAGACCAGAGTGGAATCCGCGATAACAACTGCGATTACTGTATTTACAGGTACATCCTCTTTTACTGGACTTGAGAATGATTTTATAGAAATTTCAGGATGATTGTCGTTCATATCATTTATCAATATAGTCAGTTTACATTGTCCAGATAAGGGATTTCCCCCCTTATCAGTAGCAATGACCTCCATATCATAAATCTTAAAATCCTCATAGCTAACAATTTCTTTGACTCTAATTTCACCATTTTCAGGATTTAAACTAAATGTTTGTTGTTTTTTTTCAGAGGTATACAGGCTGAATGCATAAACTATATCTGAATTTGAACCCTTGTCTAAGTCTGATGCGTTTAATTTCAATACAAGACTTCCAATCGGAGAGTTTTCTGTAAGGTTAATAGTATAACTGTCTTTATCAAATTTTGGGGCGTTGTCATTCACATCTAACACGCGCACAATAATACTTGCCGTTCCAGAACGTGCGGGGACTCCTCCATCTACAGCAGTGAGTATCATATTATGCGTTGCCTGTTTCTCGCGGTCTAATGGCTTTTTTAAGACTAAATTTGTAAATTTCGATCCGTCCCTTCCAGATTGTATGTCAATATCAAAATGCTCGCTTTCAGTTAGATAGTATGTTTTGATTGAATTTGAGCCAAAGTCTGGATCTACAGCGTTATTCAGAGAGAATCGTTCGCCAACTGGGGTAGATTCAGAAATATCAAGGTGCATTGTATCCCTCCTGAAGTGCGGTGCATTGTCATTGATATCCAGTATTTCAAGCTCAATATTAAATATTCTCTCAGGGTTATCGACTGTCACATCCATCTTTAAAAAACACGACGATGTCTTGATGTTGCATAGATATTCTCGATCTATTTTCTCCGCTATATAAAGATCTCCGGTTTCTTTGTTAATGTCCAAGTATTTTCTGTTACTAATGACATCTAATCGTATTCGTCGTTTGGTTAAAGTTTTTAAATCTAACCCCAAATCTGTGGCTAGATTAGCCACAACGGATCCAGCTACCATTTCTTCAGGAATGGAGTAATGTGTGACGGCAGACGTAATGCCAAAGATCGCAGGGAACAGAAGGAAGATGAACACGTACCTCTTATCATCAGCGATCACAGCAGCGCATCTCTTCATAGTGACTCGTTGTGTTAACACTGCTACAATTACATAAAACGGCTGATTATTTCCAGGCCATAGACTCAACTGACCACAAAAGTGAATCGTATTCTCGCACAGCACGAACTACAACAGGATCACCTCCTTCAAGACTAAAATGAAACGCACTCTTCTGCTGATTATGCGTCATGGCGGCTGAAAAATGTACCACTTAACATGGGTTTTTGTTGGTGAACAGCGACACATGGCGCCAAGTTTGTACATCCTTTATGATTTTGTTTTTAGCAGCAACAAAATTCTTATTTTAAGATAACTGCTTTGTTGTTATTGTTGTTTTTATTAGACTGCAAACGAAGATGAAAGAAAATTACGAATGCCCAAAATACGCTGAACTAAAAAAAAAAACATAAAGAAAGATACATCATTTGTATTAAGGTTCATAAGGATGCGTTTCTTACCTGTAGTGTAGATGCAGCTGAGTCGCTGTTCTCGGTCAGTCCTGTGCTCCTTGGTAAACTGGACACGATGTATCTCGCTCCCTTTGGCACAGGCTGTCTGACCACCAGCTTTCCTTTCCTTGTTTCTGCTAGAAATAAACTGTACCAGTAGGCATCGTTGGAGACCAGAGTGGAATCCGCGATGGTCGAGTTCCTCTCGCTGATCACACTGTTCCTGCACGGAGGAGTGCCCGTTTTCTCCTGAGTCTCTATCACTCACACTAACAACTGCAATTACTGTATTCACAGGTACATCCTCTTTCACTGGACTTGAGAATGATTTTATGGAAATTTCAGGATGATTGTCATTCATATCTGTGATTAAAATTGTTACTTTACACTTTCCAGAAAGACTATTAGACCCTTTATCTGTTGCTATAATTTCCATATCGTAGATCCTGAAATCCTCATAATTAATCATTTCTTTTACTCGGATTTCTCCATTGTCAGGATTCAGACTGAATGTCTGCTGTGTTTTCTCTGAGGTATACAAACTATAGGAGTAAATTATATCTGAATTGAAGCCTTCATCTTTATCTGTCGCGTTTAATTTCACTACAAGGCTTCCAACAGGTGCGTTTTCTGTTAGATTTATAGTGTAACTGTCTTTGTCGAATTGAGGGGCGTTGTCATTCGTGTCCAGAACGCGCACAATAATGCTAGCAGTGCCAGAGCGCGCGGGGACTCCACCATCCACAGCAGTGAGTATCAGATTATGTGAAGCTTGTTTTTCTCTGTCTAAAGGATTTTTAAGAATTAAATCAACAAATTTTGACCCGTCCCTTCCTGTTTGTATTTCAATGTCAAAATGATCATTCTCACTCAAATAATAAGTTTTAATCGAATTCGAGCCAATATCAGGATCCACCGCATTACTGAGCGAGAATCTCTCTCCGGCTGCTGTAGATTCTGATATATCCAAATGGATCGCATCTCTCCGAAACTGGGGAGCATTATCGTTAATGTCAACAATTTCAATTTCAGTGTTAAATATGCGCACAGGGTTCTCGAGTATCACTTCCATTTTGATAAAACAGGTTGATGTTTTAACACTGCAGAGGAACTCTCGATCCATCTTTTCTAATATATAGAGCTCTCCTGTCTCTTTATTGACATCCAGATATTTTTTGTTAGATATAATGTCGAGCCGCATTTTTCGTCTGCTCAGGAATAATGTGGCGTCAGTGTTGTGGAGGGACTGGTACGTGATTCGAGAGTTGTGCACTGAATCAGAGTCTATGGCGATGACTTTGGCTATCAGAGTTCCTTTATCGGTGGATCTCGGGATCTTTTCCTCCACCACCGAGCCGTGCGCGCGCCATGGAGACACTATAAGCGGCGTGTTGTCGTTCTGATCCATGATAATAATGTGAACGGTCACGTTACTGCTGAGCGGAGGAACACCAGAGTCTCTGGCCTCGATGTGGAAAAGGAACTCCTTCTCTATCTCATAGTCAAACGTCTTTAGCGCGTAAAGATTCCCGTTCTCTGGGTTAATAGAGAACAGCATGGACATGGAGGTGTTCACTATTTCCTTCTCTATGATAAAATAAACTAAATACTGATTTTCATGGAGATCTGGGTCTATAGCAGTTAAAGAGCTCAGTAAAGCTCCCTCCTGTCTCTTTATTGACATCCAGATATTTTTTGTTAGATATAATGTCGAGCCGCATTTTTCGTCTGCTCAGTGTTTTCACATCCAGTCCCAAATCTGAGGCCAAATTAGCAACAACAGAGCCTTCCTCCATTTCCTCTGGAATAGAATAGTGTGTAACAGAGGACACTTTGTCCAAAATAGCGGAGAAAAACAGAAAGAGCGTTACATACCTCCAAAACTGTGACTTTACGCATCCCTCCATTTTGCAGCGTTTGAGATATTTGTACTCCTCGCGGTCATGAAATGGTCAGAGAAACGAATAGGACACTCAGCGAAGCTCTTGTCATGGCGCGATCCTTTGTGCGCTTTCCTCCTATAGGAAATCTGTGATGGCGACTGAGACGATGACCAAAAGCGTTTTCTTAGAGGATAGCGACGCTCAGTGAGTACAGCATGAACATACACAAGTAGAAGAGAACAGCCTTACTTACAATAGGTATTTTTTCTATTTACCGCATTATTTGTATTATTTTTTATTTTTTTGTCCAGCGCTCCAACCCCAGCAATTCAGTACTTGTTGCTGCGCTCAAATTGAGAAAATTAGATTTAAATGTGAATATTCAAAATAGCACATGTAAAGACAAACAATAAACAGGCCTTGCAAAAAATATGGATAAATATGAAGACACTAAAACAATACAACTCTAAGAGGTAGAATGCCATTTTCTAAAACTGGGAAAAACTTGTGTTGTTTATTATACAAAGGCGCACGAAATGATTCTTCGCTTAGAAATTGTGCGCAAAACGTCAAGTAAATCTCTCTTTGATTATTGATTTAGATTGTCTTACCTGTAGTGTAGATGCAGCTGAGTCGCTGTTCTCGGTCAGTCCTGTGCTCCTCGGTAAACTGGACACGATGTATCTCACTCCCTCTTTCCAGAAAGACTATTAGTCCCTTTATCTGTTGCTATAATTTCCATATCGTAGATCCTGAAATCCTCGTAATTAATAATTTCTTTTACTCTGATTTCTCCATTGTCAGGATTCAGACTGAATGTCTGCTGCGTTTTTTCTGAGGTATATAGACTAAAAGAGTAAAATATATCGGAATTCGTTCCTTCATCTTTATCTGTCGCGTTTAATTTCACTACAAGGCTTCCAACAGGTGCGTTTTCTGTTAGATTTATAGTGTAACTGTCTTTGTCGAATTGAGGGGCGTTGTCATTCGTGTCCAGAACGCGCACAATAATGCTAGCAGTGCCAGAGCGCGCGGGGCCTCCGCCATCCACAGCAGTGAGCATCAGATTATGTGAAGCTTGTTTTTCTCTGTCTAATGACTTTTTCAGTATTAAGTCTGCAAACTTAGATCCGTCTCGTCCAGTCTGAATCTCAATACTAAAGTGGTCGCTTTCACTGAGATAGTATGTCTTTACGGAATTTGAACCTGTATCAGGGTCTACAGCATTTGTGAGGGAAAACCTCTCCCCTATTGCTGTTGCCTCTGATATGTCTAAATGCATCGTATCCCGACGAAAACGTGGCGCATTATCATTTATATCCATTATTTCAAGTTCAATATTAAACATTCGAATAGGATTCTCTAATGTGGCATCCACTTTAAGAACGCATGTTGTAGCTGATTTTGATGTGCACAGATTTTCTCTGTCAATCTTTTCTAAAATGTACAGCTCCCCTGTATCTTTGTTAACGTCAAGATATTTTTTATTAGCGACCACATCCAACCGTATTTTACGTTTACTAAGACTTTTCAAATCCAATCCCAAATCAGACACCAAATTTGCAACCACAGACCCTTCGTCCATTTCCTCAGGAATTGTGTAGTGAGTAACAGCAGCTGCTGTCTGAAACACAGAAGCAAGAAATACGAAGGTCGAGACGTACCTCAACCATAGTCGTGTTTTCGGTTCCATTTTTTTGATTTTCCTGAAAGTGCACACAGAAAGCAGGTCCAAAGAGTTCCGAACCGTGGACATGGTTCAAGAAAATAATTCGCGCAATGTAAGAAAATACAACTGGACCAATATATGAAAGAGCGAATGGTCCTGCCTGAAAGAAATACCGCAATGTTGTCCACAGATGAAGAAACGACGGTGGCTGAATGACTAGAAAAGTATTTTCTTGGTGGACAGCGACTCTGTGCGCACAAGAGCGAGGAGTGCAGCATAAAGAGTAAAATTAGAAAATTATTTTAAAATATTGTTACGTTGGTTAAGGTATTAATAAAAAATGTTCAAAAAAAAAAAGTGAAAAAATATATAATACCTATAATTAAGCTTTTCATATACTATATGCAAACAAAAGCAAATGACAAATGCAAGTCAGGTGATTTTCAAAACTGTGCCAATAAAAATGCATTACGTAACAGGTAATTAATACAAGTATCAGTCTCCTGATTGAGAAACATTAAGAGCTTGAAAGCAGCTGAATTGTCTCTGAAAATAAGTAACTACACTGCATTGCGTAAAAGTGATGCAACACATTTCTTATCTTCTTGACTACATTTTCAGCAGATTAACTGCTGAACTAGCAAAATAAAAGCAAATACGCAAGTGCAAAGTTGAACCTAAATGGGCATTTTACATTACTGGGAAAAAAACATCCATAACTTATATTTTACCTTTTTTTCTCTCTTTTTTTTTCAATTCACTATGTGGCAGTGCTTACCTGTAGTGTAGATGCAGCTGAGTCGCTGGTCTCGGTCAGTCCTGTGCTCCTCGGTAAACTGGACACGATGTATCTCGCTCCCTTTGGCACAGGCTGTCTGACCACCAGCTTTCCTTTCCTTGTTTCTGCTAGAAATAAACTGTACCAGTAGGCATCGTTGGAGACCAGAGTGGAATCCGCGATGGTCGAGTTCCTCTCGCTGATCACACTGTTCCTGCACGGAGGAGTACTGTCTTTACAGGTACATCCTCTTTAACTGGACTTGAGAATGATTTGATGGAAATTTCAGGATGATTGTCATTCATATCTGTGATTAAAATTTTTACTTTGCATTTTCCAAAGAGACTATTAACTCCTTTATCTGTTGCTATAATTTCCGTATCGTAGATCCTGAAATCCTCGTAATTAATCATTTCTTTTACTCTGATTTCTCCATTGTCAGGATTCAGACTGAATGTCTGCTGTGTTTTCTCTGAGGTATACAAACTATAGGAGTAAATTATATCTGAATTGAAGCCTTCATCTTTATCTGTCGCGTTTAATTTCACTACAAGGCTTCCAACAGGTGCGTTTTCTGTTAGATTTATAGTGTAACTGTCTTTGTCGAATTGAGGGGCGTTGTCATTCGTGTCCAGAACGCGCACAATAATGCTAGCAGTGCCAGAGCGCGCGGGGACTCCACCATCCACAGCAGTGAGTATCAGATTATGTGAAGCTTGTTTTTCTCTGTCTAAAGGCATTTTAAGAATTAAATCAGCAAATTTTGACCCGTCCCTTCCTGTTTGTATTTCAATGTCAAAATGTTCGCTTTCACTCAAATAATACGTTTTAATCGAATTCGAGCCAATATCAGGATCCACCGCATTACTGAGCGAGAATCTCTCTCCGGCTGCTGTAGATTCTGATATATCCAGGTGGATGGTATCTCTCCGAAACTGGGGAGCATTATCATTTATGTCTACAATTTCAATTTCAAAGTTAAATATGCGCACAGGGTTCTCGAATGTCACTTCCATTTTGATAAAGCATGTTGTCGCCGTTTTAGATGAACAAAGATATTCTCGATCCATATTTTCTAATATATAGAGCTCTCCTGTCTCTTTATTGACATCCAGATATTTTTTGTTAGATATAATGTCGAGCCGCATTTTTCGTCTGCTCAGTGTTTTCACATCCAGTCCCAAATCTGACGCCAAATTAGCAACAACAGAGCCTTCCTCCATTTCCTCTGGAATAGAATAGTGCGTAACAGAGGACGAGGTGTCTAACATAGCGAAGAAAAACATGAGGGACGTTACATACCTCCAGAACTGTGACTTCACGTATCCTTCCATTCTGCAACGTTTGAGATATTTGTACTCCTCGAGATCACGAAATTAGTTGAGAAGTGAATGGGGCACACAGCGAATCTCTTGTCATGGCGCGCTCTTTGTGCGCTTTCCTCCTATAGGAAATCTCTCATGGTGATTGTGATTATGACCAAAAGCGTTTTTTAGAGAACAGCGACGCTCAGTGAGTTTAGTCTGAACATACACAATAAGAAGAGAACAGCCTCGTTTGGAATAGGTGTTCTTCTTTTTTTACTTTTGATGTGTTTGTTTGTTTTTACTCGATGCAAAGGAAATATGTGCTAATAGATGAAGAGCCTCAAAATAACAAGTAGAAAGAACAAAAACACAAGTTGTTTAAAAATATATTGAAAAAAATAATTGAGAATAAATTAAACTAATTAAAATATGAAAGGAAAAAATCTCATATTTTCTCAACCTGAGAAACACCGAGTATGCTATATTAGGGTAGGGCGCACACACCACCTATTCTCTTACAATCTGAAAGGAAATTGTGTGTGAAACGTTATGTAAATCTTTCTTTGATAATTGATTTAGATTGTCTTACCTGTAGTGTAGATGCAGCTGAGTCGCTGGTCTCGGTCAGTCCTGTGCTCCTCGGTAAACTGGACACGATGTATCTCGCTCCCTTTGGCACAGGCTGTCTGACCACCAGCTTTCCTTTCCTTGTTTCTGCTAGAAATAAACTGTACCAGTAGGCATCGTTGGAGACCAGAGTGGAATCCGCGATGGTCGAGTTCCTCTCGCTGATCACACTGTTCCTGCACGGAGGAGCCGCTTTGCTGGGCTTCGTTTTCTGACACTTCAGCACGATGGTGACCAATATAGTGATGAGTAAAAGAAATGAAACAGAGCCCAGTCCGATCACCAGATACAGGTTTAAATCGGAGAAGATGTCATATGCCAAAGGCACCTCAGTCATGTCAGCATAGGTTTTAAGGGCGGTCTCCACCGTGGACAGTTTGATGGTGACTGTAGCAGAGAGCGCGGGCTCTCCGTTGTCCTTGGCGATCACAACCAGCTGCTGGTGGCGCGAGTCTCTGTAACTGAACATTCTCATGGTCCGGATCTCTCCGTTATATTGATCCAAGCGGAATAATGTGGCGTCAGTGTTGTGGAGGAACTGGTACGTGATTCGAGAGTTGTGCACTGAATCAGAGTCTATGGCGATGACTTTGGCTATCAGAGACCCTTTATCGGTGGATCTCGGGATCTTTTCCTCCACCACCGAGCCGTGCGCGCGCCATGGAGACACTATAAGCGGCGTGTTGTCGTTCTGATCCATGATAATAATGTGAACGGTCACGTTACTGCTGAGCGGAGGAACGCCAGAGTCTCTGGCCTCGATGTGGAAAAGGAACTCCTTCTCTATCTCATAGTCAAACGTCTTTAGCGCGTAAAGATTCCCGTTCTCTGGGTTAATGGAGAACAGCATGGACATGGAGGTGTTCACTATTTCCTTCTCTATGATAAAATAGACTAGATACTGATTTTCATGAAGATCTGGATCTATAGCAGTTAAAGAGCTCAGTAAAGCTCCTGGTGCGTTATTCTCCATAACAGGTATCGTGTAGAATGTCTGTGGGAACTGAGGTGCGTTATCGTTGACATCTAGCAAATGGACACTTATAGTTTCGTTATCAGATAAGGGAGGACTTCCTTCATCCGTCACAACCAACGTGATCTCATATTCTGGGACAATTTCACGATCTAACAGTTCCGACACCAATAACTTATAGAGGTAGTCAGAGGTTTTGTTTAAAATAAACGGCAAGGACTTGTTCATTGTCAGATTTACCTTACCGTTATTCCCCGTGTCTCTGTCACTAACACCCACCAGAGCTATAACAGACCCGACTGGGACGTTTTCATCCACTGTGTTCTTAAGAGATTTTATGGTTATCTCGGGATAGTTATCGTTCATATCCTTAACATACACAGTCACTCTGCATTGACCGGAGAGTGGAACCGGACCATTGTCTTTAGCTTCAACGAACATCTCAAATATTTTCATATCTTCATAATCAATGGTGCCTTTAACTGCAATTTCGCCAGTTTTTGAATTCAGCGAGAACATCTCCTGTGTTTTCTCAGAAGTGTAAAGCGTAAATGAGTATGTAAGATCTGCGTTTGGGCCTTCATCAGCATCAGTAGCCTTTAATTTAATAACAACAGTGCCAGCTGGAGAATTCTCGCTCATATTCAGAGAATAAACTGCCTGATCAAACTGAGGGGCGTTGTCATTTGTATCTTGGACGCGCACAATAATACTAGCCGTGCCAGAGCGCGCAGGGACGCCGCCATCAATTGCAGTGAGTATCAGATTATGAACAGCCTTCTCTTCCCTGTCTAAAGCCTTCATGAGAACCAAATCGACATATTTTGTTCCATCACTACCAGAATGTATATCAACAGTAAAATGTGCACTTTCACTTAATTTATAGGTCTTGACTGTATTGGCACCAACGTCCGGGTCAAAAGCATTGGGCAAAGAAAATCTTTCTCCCGGTGTTGCGGACTCTGAGACATCCAATTCAATTTTATCTCGCCGGAAATGAGGAGCATTATCGTTAATGTCTGTGATGCCCAATTCAATATTGAAAATGCGCAAGGGGCTTTCAATTATTAAGTCTAATTTTAGAAAACAGGTTGTCGTGGTTTTCGTAGGACACAGATTTTCCCTATCCATTTTCTCAACAATAAATAACTCGCCAGTAATTTTATTAACATCTAGATATTTGTTGTTATGGAAAATATCAAGTTTTACCTCTCGCTGTGCTAGTCCACTAACATCTAGCCCTAAATCAGCGGCTAGATTTGCAACAACGGACCCGCGCTCCATCTCCTCCGGTATGGAATATCGCGTCACAGACAAAGCTGTTTCCCATGTTGCCCACAGTACAAAGAAAAACGGAACCCACCGTCCAACTGGCTTCATCATCAATTCCAGCAGAAGACACAAAAACACTAAGAAAAGATCAGTCAGATGGAGTTACTAGTCGTGTTGCTTCTTGAAATTTCCCTTGTGTTCAGTCTTCCTTGTAAAAATATTCCTGTAATGATTTAAAAACGCTGCTAAAAAGGATGCTGTTCTCAGGACCACCAAGCCTCTGGTATATGACAACGTCCCTTTAAATGAAGCCTGTTTGTCATTTACTGGCCAACAGCGACGCGCTGAGACAGAAACAAAAACTGTATATTTACCGGATTAAAGTAATGAACTGAAGATATGGTCTTGATAATCGTTTTATAGTTTTATGTCGTTCATGAGTGAAAATGATCTCAGCCTTTTTGTCTGTATTAAACGTACATCAATGAACTTCTCTGTGTAGGCTATGTGTGCTACTCATTATTCTCCGTTTCTCTATTTCATTATCGTGTCACTTCATAAAATGTTATGAAATGCTTTGCATACTTGGCATTTGTTACCGTTTTATTATATTATTATTTGACATTTTCTAATTTTTACATTTAATTTATTTTTTGACAGGGATGCTGTCCCTGTCTCTGAGGACAATGACATCAGATTTCATGCAACAAAGGCTCTGCACAGACTAGATCATTTTACAGAGATACTATTTTATTTTATTTTATTTCTCATCATCAGTGCATGTCAATATAAATGTAATGGATTTGATAGCTGATTGGAAAGTCTGGCTTCAGACAGTGACTAAGACAGTCATACTTGCAGTAACCAATTAATTTAACTACACAAAATACTTTTTTGGCAAAAGAAAGCAACATAATTATGTTGCAGAATCTCACGTGCCTTTAGCATTTGCTACATTAACTTCTGCTAAGTACAAAGACTGTGAGAATATAACAGCTGGCTGCCCATGTCCACAGTATCCCATGTTGTAATCTTTACAGCATTTTCTGACTTACCTCTCTTTCTGTGAACTTTGGCTACTTCGACCCATTCTCTTTTCTTTCTCTTCCAGTAATGGATGGCAGTCAGATGAATTCATGCTTCCTTGAAGATTTGAAGATTTAACACATGGAACAGAGATCTGATCTAGGAATTAAATTATTGTAATAATATATATTTTTTTCCTTTCGCACTTCAGTTTCCCTCTTCAAATAATAATAATAATAATTGTAATAATAATAATAAAAAAAAACTTTGTAAAAAAATAATTTTACAAATCATTGTAAAAAAAATGTCAGTGTATCTCTTAAAAGTAAAATGTCACTGTAACTTGTCATTGCAATTCAGTTATACTCTAAAATAAATGTTATGGTTAAATCTCTGTCTAATCATTCAGAGTATTATGTAAAGACAGAAAGCACAGAAATATCACCACAAATTTAAATTTACATGGGTTGTGGATTTATTTATTTGTTTGTTTGTTTGTATTTTATTTGACATGTTAATGAAATATGCCAGCAACTGTAATCTCTGCAATGTTGTGCCTGTTGACATGTGATGCAGGCGACCTCTAGTGGTGTTTTCTGAGACTGATTTCCCAAACTGCAGCTACATATTCATGCAGAAGATATCAGGTCATCATTAGTCTTTTGTTTCTTAGATAACGTTTCTTTAAAATGGAATGTTTGAAGAAACAATAAACAAACAGATTTATGGCTAATACTGAAACTTATTTTTTCTGAAGTCATTTTCTAAAAAAGTTGGAGACCACTTGCGGAAATGCAGCTTTTCTGACCCCACTCTGTTTGTATTTATATTTACCAAAATGTATTTGTATATTGTGTGTGCAGTATGTGTATATATACATACACACGCAATTCATATGCACATTTGATATTTAATAACAATTCATATTATCATTATCAATTCATTTTCATTTGCAAAAAAAACAAATATTTTCACTGGACAGCTGCAGGTCAAGATGTAGGAGAGTGAAATATCAGTTTTTATGACAAGTAAGAGTAAATACTAATCTACAAAGCATATGTTTAAGGGGGTAAAAACACATCACTGTCCATTAAACTTCATTATGCAACACTAAAACTCCAAGACAACAACATGTGTAATGGCAGACTATGACGTCATAATATCAGACAGAGCAGCTCTGCTATTGGTTTAGAACCAAACAGGATGGAACAAAGAGAGGGAGTTCCGACTGGTGTTGTCATAGAAACAGCTAGAGCTAAAACATTCTGTTTAGGACAAGGCGAAGGTCAAAGTGTAGAAGCACTTACTTGCTAGAAGTCAAAGGTGAAGGCCTAAATCGGGTAAATCACAAATACAGATATTAAATATTACCACTTCATCTTTATAGTTCAGTTGTGTTTGAACCTTTAAGGCAAGGAACTTCAAAGTAATGACCAATAAAATTTGTGTTGCCTAATATAAGCATTAGACCCCTAAACATTCTAGATTTAATCACGTCTGGCTCCAGCTTCAACATACGGTTATTTAACATTCAAGAAAATTGCGAAATTCACCTTCAAGTTAAACTACACATAACAAATTAATTATAATCATTAATAAAAAAAATAAACATTTACAGTATATGAGCAACTATACTTTATGCTTAGCACAGTCTATCTTTCAGCCAATCAGCTAGGACTACTGTCTAGTCACCTAATTAATATTCATGAGTGAAGTTTTAAAGTTTTCTTTGCACAGATTGTTCCTACTTCTCAAAAGGATGTCATTGTTTGAATGTGACTCTGTGCTGCAAAAGCGGAGCTCTTCTAATTCCTGATTTGTAGTCTAGAGAGGGACATGTCTTAATTGCTCATCTCCTCACCTCCGGTTCACGGGCCCTCAGAGAGATGAACTTCGATTTAGAGAAGTGTGTTAGCGCCATGGAGACCGTTTCTTCATTAACGTTTGTAATCTGAAAGGACACACGGCAAACCTAATTGCCCCTCTCAACTGGGCGATACACATCTATTGACATTCCGAACTCATGTCTCCGGGAAATTAAAATGGAAAGGGCTCGGGAGAGATTGCGTCCAGGTGTGGCATTTTCAGGGAGAGCCTGATTCCCCCCACGGGCCCGTCTGTTTCCCTGTCTTTAATTAAAATGATATTTAGACGATGGAGTTTTGTGTTTGTTTAGTTAATGAACCAAGTCTATTCTCTGTGGGAGGAAAAAGGAAGCTCATTAGCATATGTTAGCATTTGCGATGTTTACTCAGTGCACGAGAGAGTGGCCTGGGTCATTTTATTTTCTTTGTGCTTAGAAACTATGTAAAGAACTGAGAATTAATTGTTCAGTTTCTAGTCCTAAAACCTGGAAGAGATTTGGCATTTTTGAACCATGGGGAATTTCCTGTGTTCACACCTGAGATTTGACTGTGCATAATTTATGTTGCTTTAAAAAATAAAACAGTAAAGTCTCTTCAAGTAATGTTAACCACAGACCTACTTTTACCCACAAACCAAAAAGGCTGAACACAAAAGTAATATATTCCTACTATTGCACAGAAATAAAAGAGATTCAAAGTTTGGACCTTGAAACTGAACAGAGATGATATATTGAAAATAGCAAATTTTAGTAACCTGCGATTTTTAACATCTGTAATTTTACTCAGGCTGCAAAACTGAATTAAACAGAAAAACAATATATTTCCAGAATATCTGGATGCCACTCCCATGAAAGTTCATGTGATAACAATGCAGAAAATGAATACTTACATTTACAAGCAACTTACAGTGCATTTAGGCTACATGGTTTTTTTATTTTTAACAGTATGTGTGTTACCTGGGAATTGAACCCATGACCTTTTGCACTGCTAACACTATGCTCTACCACTGAGCCACAGGAAAACTATACTCACCAGTTGAAACAGTGTACAGGGTATATTGCACAGTATTCAGTAAGCAATCATCTTGTATGATTCATGCCCTCAAGTTATCCCCTATAAAAATATTAATCACAACACCGCAGTTTTATTGCAGAAAAAAATATTTAATTCTCATATTTTTTATGTACATATTTGGAATGAATGGACTTTCACATCCTGTTCACTTGTATGAGGCAGTAATGCGTGTCTAAAGTCATTCCTACACGAGTTATCATATTGAATTAATCAGTTTCATTTGGTGAGCATCCACCTTCTCCTGGCCCATAATTCTTCCACATCATGACCACTGTATTGATTTATATGCTCACACCGTGTGCAAAAGGTGGGTAATAATCACATTTTGGCTGAAATGATTGTCAAAGTAACAACAGTAGGAAAATATAAAAATAATAATGATATTCAGTATTGTATTAAATCTCAGGCTTCTCACTGCTGCTCAAGTGGTAATGATCTTTGACCTTTAGGCCTGGTGTGGTCAAACTAACCAAGCAGATGCAATTACAAATAATAATAATAATACAGATTAAGTTTTATTCAGTCCCTCATATAACAGGACAAGCAAGTTTCATTGGGATCATAAGATCTCGACTCTCCCTTTAACTAATTCAAGTTCTTTTAAAACAGACAGACTCTCCTATCCTGAGGAACAGAGCCTCTGTAGTTAAGTACAATAGGCTCCAATGACAGGACAGACAGAATGTCTTACGAGCAGGTCTGAATGATGTACCACAAACACACACAATGTGCGTGAAAAGTGCATGTTCGAGTGAGTGTGAGCACAGAGCGTTGACAGACAGAACCATCATAGCATAGCGGCACTGTGACATCATTAAGGTTTTGGTCACATGACAAGTAGCCTCAGACTTGCAGCATAAAGTTGGTTTGCTGCTCATTCTACCCGACTGACATGTAAAGCAACAAAACACTTTTTACATGCCATTTAGGTGTGAGTTATCTGAAATAGAGTGCAACAGTCGGGTTCCGGAAGTAAAAGCTCCATTTATTATCTCCACAGGGAAGGTGACTTGTAACTCACAATAGGTCTGTTTTTAAAGGTTTATCAGTTATTGTTACAAGCTTGTTAATTGATGGTATATGCTTTTCTTGAAGCTGTCAGTTTGCATTATTTCAACTTTTACTTGAAGTATTTGTGTTTAACTTTATGTTAAACTAGTGCTGTCAAATCGATTAAAAGTTTATTGTATGTAAAAATATATTGTTTACATAATATATGTGTGTGTACGGTGTATATTGATATGTATATATAAATACATACATGTATGTATTTAAGAAATATACGTTATGTGTGTGTGTGTGTGTGTAAATATTTCTTAAATATATACATGTATGTGTGTGTATTTATATATATATACAGTATATATATATATATATAAATATACACAGTACACACACCTATATTATGTAAACAAACTTATTTTGGATGCACTTAATCGCAATTAATTGATATGACAGCACTATGAAAAACCCATAATTATACAGAGAAATCTTTAAATATAAATTTAGCATATTTAAATCAATAGTTTCTCCATCATTTTTAATTTGATTTTTATTCAATCTAGTAACTTTGTCTTTTTGTTCAATCTTCAAATACTTTTTGGCTTCAAACCAAAGTCTGTAATGTTGTGATTAAATTCATAACTGCTTGGTTGGTTTATGGCTTAAAACTTTTTAATGAAGACTCTTTTTTTAAATCCTTATGGGAAAAAAGTGAATGGGAAAAACACTTCTGGAATCAAGTCCACTGAGAAAATGTTTAGGCACTGTTGCACTCTAAAAATCTCTGCAAAACGGGGGAGGTTTATTTTTAGATTTTGTGATAAGAGTTTCTGTCCTGCTAAACAAGTTCACAGACAGAAAACAAAGTGGGATAAACAGTTCCGCTCCTGAATAACTTTCAAAGATTTCAAGCACGATCCAGGCAAACTATGGCAAAACCATTAAAAACAATATCAACCTTGTATTATTTTAAAACAATTTTCTTCCCCAAATCAACGGAAGTTGCATTGCATGTGCAATATGCATCAAATGGTCAAAGAATGGACTGTGTCTGTCCATCTGAGGCTGAGACTACATAATGAGTGCTATGCTTTGGTAATAAGTCACTCTTTTCGTTCATCATCACAACATAGGTCCTTTTGTCTTATTTTATTCATTATATAAGTCATTGTTGATGACCTCTGCCCCCGTGTCGTCATGCGGGTCGTAGCTGCTGGGAGAGATGAACCTATGTTTCTTGCCGAAGGTGGAGAATGAGTTGTGAACGTCGAGCTCACTGCGGTAGCTGGGCCGCAGGGTGCAGAAGCCGGACGGTGTGCCGGGGATGTAGACGTTGTGCTGGTAGTCCGGCGGAGGGTGCGGGCGGACCTGTGCCGTGGGCTGCTGCTGCTGCAGGTGGTGTGTGGGGTTGTGTTGGGGTGTGTAGTGAGGAGTCCAGGCCCTCTGAGAAACACTACCTGCTGGAGAATGCATCCGGTACTCTGAAAGGGTTAAAAAAAATTACTTAAATTAAATAAGATCCTTTAATGTTTTTGAAAAAAAAAAGTATTTTCTGCTCACCAAAGCTGCATTTATTTGGTCATAATACAGTAAAACAGTAATATTGTGAAATGTTATTACAATTTATAATAACTATTTTGTATTGCAATATATTTTAAAATGTTGTTTTTTCCTGTGCTGCAAAGTTGAATTTTCAGCATCATTATTCCAGTAATCAGTGTCACATGATCCTTCAAAAATTATTCTAATATGCTGATTTGCTGCTCAAGAAAATTCTCATTATCACTGTTGAAAACAGATGTGCCTAATCTAAGGTGTCATTGCCAAATAAAAGTAAAAAAAAAAAAAATGTTATTATGCTCACCCCAAACTTTTGAATGGTATGTATCACGGTTTCCACTAAAATGTGAACCAGAACAACTGTTTTCAACATTGATAATAATCAGAAATGTTTCCTGAGCAGCAAATCAGCATATTAGAATGATTTCTGATGGATTATGTGACATTGAAGACTGGTGTAATGATGCTGAAAATGCAGCTTTATCATCACAGGAATAAATTACATTTTTAAATATATTACAATAGAAAATAGTTATTTTAAATTTTAATAATATTTCACAATATTACTGTTTTTACTGTATTTTTTATCAAATACATGTAGCTTTAGTGAGCATAAAAGTCTACTTTGAAAAACATTTATATAAAATCTTAATAATTTCTAACGTTTGACTCTAAACTGGATCACATTGGAAGTACTAATGTGAATAATTTATGTTGCCAAACAAATCATGAAAGTCTCTTCAAGTAATGTCTCATTAACCAGAGGGCAATGTAATAGATTCCTCACTATTGCACAGAAATAAAATACATTCAAAGTTTGGACCTTGAATCTGAACATAAATAATATATTGAAAATTGCAAATTTTCTGTAGTAGGGCTTAATATCACCTGTGGTTTTTAACGTCTGAAATTTTACTCATTTGGGCTGCAAAATGAATTCAACATGACAATCACAAAACAACCACACTTCCAACATAAGGCAAAGAGATATGGCCATGTGCTGGTTTTTACTTTTTCATGGCAGCAATGTCTTTAGTAATTCCCGCTCCATCACTTTTTCCTTGTTGAATATCATGTTTCACTTAAAATATGAAATATGTCAGATAATTTCAAGTATAGCTGTACCTCTTGAGCGGGTCCCCCAGGTCCAGTACTGTCCGGTAGCCATTTGACCCATATAATTCTCTGGTTCTGCCTGCATGGCCTTACGCATCAGAGTGCCATCCATGTTTATAGAGTTACAACTGCAAACAGATGATGGGAAATTAGGCCAGTCTGAGATGTAAGGAGATATTTTGATACTCCAGATTTCATGCATGAAAGATCATTGCCTGCCTGCTCTAAATGACAAAACTTCATTTCTGAAGTCTTCTTTAAAAATACAATTAATATGTTTTTAATACTTCTTTTCCCCCTAAAATGTAAAAGTTATTTTTTAAGAGTTTGACTTCTAGCGTTTACATTTATGCATATGAAATTGAACACATGACCAAGGGCACTGTTAGCACCATGTGCAATTTTTTGAGCTACAGAAACACTTAGATTTTCTCTGTAGTACAACAGTTTGTAATCTATTGTGTTACTATTAAATAAAAACACAAGCTTATAGTGTATGCCCATTCAGAGACGAGTAAACTTGTGTTTTACCTTTTTAGAGAGGGGGTTTGATTTTTGGTGAGGGCCCAGTCAGTGTTTGCTTGTTTCAACTGCGACACACAGAACAATAAAAAAAAAATTAGATCTTAAAATAAATAACTGATTATAACATATGTAGAATACATGTTTATATATCTTTTTCGAAACTCTTCAGTGTATACAATTGCTACAGATGTCCACAGACACTCTGAAAGATATTCCTCAGGCATTAAAGGAATCTTGTATGCCTCCTTGTGGCCAAAAGTGTGAATCGCACGTCATTACTTTCCGAGCTGTGGTGCCTTGAGCAATGACTGTAGTGCCACGGTCTTCTCTTTCATCCTCAGAGATGCAGCGGGGGTGGAGGAGGTGGAGGAGGAGGAGGAGAATGGGGGTGTTATTTATTTCATGTCAAAGAGAGAGAGAAAGCATGAATTCCACGCTCTATTAATTCGCTTAGAGACTTTCATAAGGAGAGCGCCATGTACGCTTATTATTAAAACCGTTCTTCAAAATACCTTCCGTAGATAATTAGAACACCGACATACGATTTTAATCTTCAAAGGAAACCGCAGCGGGCAGGAAATTAATTTCGAAAACGCATTTAACTGTCCGACGAATTCAATTGAGTTTAATTTCTCGTTTTAATTTAGAAACTCCCGTGCGTTTGCATTCTCCGCTGCAGCTCTGGTGAATTTATACAGAATTTTCCAGCTTTAATATATTCCCAGAAGAAATCCTGTAAGTAGCTCTGACTGCACGCAGGAGTTCTACACATGTTTGAGTTTTTTTGTTTTTTTTTAATGCCCTTAAGGACAGAATTTTTCATTAATATTCTATAGGAGACCTAAAGGCCACAGAGTCTAACATTGCAGGTTGCAGTTCCCTCAATGGACGAGTTTATTCTTCACAAGCTATAAGAAGTTCACTGACCTAAGGCAAGGTCACACCTGGCTCTCCAACTCACCCTGACAAATGAATAATAACGGAAGCGAGCACGTTTACATTTTAAAGCCTGACGTTTCCACCTAGTGGATATTAACAGGACACACACACACACACACACACACACACACATACATACAGTTTATCCCTAGCTCTCCAGTTCTCGTTCTATGAGGGCAAAGTGGCAGAATCTACAGGCGCGACACGTCTCCATCGGCTCCAGCTCGCTTCCTAATGCTTTCATTTCCCCAGCCCCATTATGGAAGAAACCAGTCCGCGCCCGTGTGCCATTGTGTATTGGATAATTAGCTTGTGTATGTGCGTGCGCATGCCCTTGATATACAGTTGACAAAGAATGTGCCTCAATGCAATAGAAGAGAACTGAAAAGCTTCTCCTGTTCAAGGTTAGAGACAGACCACGATCATTTTTAAGCTGACCACATTAACAACAAAGAAGCATAAAAAACATTTTAAACATTCTATAAAATATATAGAAAGAGAGAGAGAGAGAAAGAGAGAGAGCACATAAACAAAGGAAAAACTGGATAGAGTGCTAAAAGACGCGCATTGACCTCTGTTTCTCTGGAAGATGCTGCTGTCTAGAGACGCTCGTTCACTCTCAATCAAGGTCATTGATTGACTTCAGAGGTATTAAATATTTGTCAAATAATTAGCGCCTAGTTTTTCTTTTGTGCATTTATAATCGATAGCCAATTCATCTCGTTCACCAACATATGTGCACAAATGATGCCCTTCACGGAAGTGACTCAAAAATAAAGATCACCTGACAAACTCAACGAGCAAGTTAATGTTTAAGACTGAAGATGAATGCAGTTTTACCTCGTTCGGTGTAGTCGCTCCGTTGTTCACGGACGAGCAGCGGCTCTGTGAGCTCAGCGCCAGGTTATCCGCTCCTCTCGCCGCGTTATTTCTCGGTGTGCCGGGACTGCAAGGCTTGAGAAACATAAAGTCTCTCTTTGCAGATTCGGGCGTCAAACACACTTTGTAGCAGTAAGCTTGAGAGAGATTTCCAGGATTGCTGTTTACCTCCACGCAGTTCGTGGGCACTTTGGCGCCGGTGGCGATCTGCAGGTTGAGATTAGACTTTTTGAATACCTCGGCGGGCGGCTCCGGTTCAAAGCTGCAGCAAGCGGTACCGAGCGAGGAGAGCGCGTAACCGCCGAGGGAGTCACGGTCTTTGTAACACTTCACGGCCGCCAGGACGATGATGGCCACGAGGAAGATGAGCGAGATGGTGCTCAGTGACACGATTAAATAGAGCGCGAGGTTAGACGGGGGCTGGGGGCTGAGCGAGAGGTCACCGAAGTCGGACAGCGACTCCGGCACGCTGTCCACCACTGACATAATGATGGACACGGTGGCCGAGAGCGGCGGCTGCCCGTTGTCCTTGACAAGTATGACGAGTCTTTGCCTGATGGCATCTTTGTCGAAAAAGCGGCGGATCGTCCTGATCTCCCCGGTGTATAAAGCCACGCTGAACAGCCCGGGATCCGTCGCCTGCAGCATCTGATATGACAGGCGAGAGTTTTGCCCCGCGTCCGCGTCAAGCGCCGTGATTTTAGCCACAAGGTACCCAGCGTCAACCGACCTGGGCACCATTTCAGTAGCAACAGTGCCGTTTCTGGGCAGTGGGGACAGGATGACCGGCGCGTTGTCATTCTGATCCAAAACGAACACATTGACGGTCACGTTGCTGCTGAGCGGCGGGAAACCTGCGTCCTGCGCCTGGACACGGATCTGAAAGTTCCGGAGCTGCTCGTAATCGAAAGAGCGCAGCGCGTAGATGTTGCCGTTATCAGAATTGATTGAGACATAAGTGGACACCGGCATGCCCTGGATCTGACCCTCCAGGATGGAGTAGGACAAATACGCGTTCTGATTAGAGTCCGGATCGAATGCGGTCAGCGAGCAAATGGAAGCCCCCGGGGCGTTATTCTCGGTCACATATACAGTGTACGAGGGCTGAATGAACCGCGGCGGGTTGTCGTTAATGTCAGACACTTGAACCAGAATCGTTTTCCTGGTGGACAGCGGAGGCGAGCCAAGATCTCGCGCCGTGAGGGTGATGTTATACTCCGAGACAGACTCTCTGTCGAGAAACTCGCTGGTCACGAGTGTGTAATAGTTTTTAAAAGAGGAGTGCAGCTGGAACGGCACATTTCCGGGGATCTGGCAATCCACGGCTCCGTTCTCTCCGGAGTCGCGGTCCATTACACTGATCACGGCTATCACCGTGCCCGGAGGCGCGTCCTCCTGAACAGGTGTTGACACAGAGGTTAATATGACCTCGGGCGCATTGTCGTTCACGTCCAGAATATCGACCAGCACTTTACAATGCACGGCCACGGCTGAGGGACCCTTGTCTTTCGCCTGCACGTAGAGCTCGTACACGCTGGCCTTCTCGTAGTCCACGACTCCCTTCACCCGGATCTCACCCGAGTGAGAATCCACGCTGAACAGCTCGCGCACCTTCAGAGGCGCATGCCCGCTGAACGAATAGGTGATCTCGCCGTTTGCGCCTTCATCCAGGTCCGTGGCGTTCAGTTTGAGCACGAGCGTGCCTCTAGGCGCGTTCTCCACCAAGCTGACCCGGTATACGGAGCGGTCGAACACCGGTACGTTGTCATTCGCGTCCAGCACAGTTACCGTGATCTGTGCCGTGCCCGAGCGCAACGGGGAGCCACCGTCCACGGCCGTGAGCACCATCTCGTGCGTCTTCTGCTGCTCTCGGTCCAACGGCGACTGCAGAACGAGTTCTGCAAACTTGCTGCCGTCGTTACGTGTCTGAATGTCCAGCACGAAGTGTTGATTGGCGCTCAGTAAGTACGAACGGAGAGAGTTCGAGCCCACATCCAGATCCTGCGCGCTCTCCAGGGGGAACCGGGAGCCCAGCGCAGCAGACTCTGTGATCTCCAGATTAAACTCGCTCCACGGGAAAGGAGTGCAACTGGAACGGCACATTTCCGGGGATCTGGCAAGCCACAGCTCCGTTCTCTCCGGAGTCGCGGTCCATTACACTGATCACGGCTATCACCGTGCCCGGAGGCGCGTCCTCCTGAACAGGTGTTGACACAGAGGTTAATATGACCTCGGGCGCATTGTCGTTCACGTCCAGAATATCGACCAGCACTTTACAATGCACGGCCACGGCTGAGGGACCCTTGTCTTTCGCCTGCACGTAGAGCTCGTACACGCTGGCCTTCTCGTAGTCCACGACTCCCTTCACCCGGATCTCACCCGAGTGAGAATCCACGCTGAACAGCTCGCGCACCTTCAGAGGCGCATGCCCGCTGAACGAATAGGTGATCTCGCTGTTTGCGCCTTCATCCAGGTCCGTGACGTTTAGTTTGAGCACGAGCGTGCCTCTAGGCGCGTTCTCCACCAAGCTGACCCGGTATACGGAGCGGTCGAACACCGGCACGTTGTCATTCGCGTCCAGCACAGTCACCGTGATCTGTGCCGTGCCCGAGCGCAACGGGGAGCCACCGTCCACGGCCGTGAGCACCATCTCGTGCGTCTTCTGCTGCTCTCGGTCCAACGGCGACTGCAGAACGAGTTCTGCAAACTTGCTGCCGTCGTTACGTGTCTGAATGTCCAGCACGAAGTGTTGATTGGCGCTCAGTAAGTACGAACGGAGAGAGTTCGAGCCCACATCCAGATCCTGCGCGCTCTCCAGGGGGAACCGGGAGCCCAGCGCAGCAGACTCTGTGATCTCCAGATTAAACTCGCTCCACGGGAAACTGGGAGCGTTATCATTCACGTCCAAGATCTCCACTTCTACCCGGTACAGTTCCAAAGGGTTCTCAATGACCACCTGCAAGTGCAAGAAACAAACGGGTTGGGGAGAAATCGTATTGGCGGACGGCGACTTGAGAGCACGGAGCATAATCACTGTACCGATACGTTTAACTCGCGAACTACCGGGCGCGCGTAATCACCCTGAAATAAGCGAGACTTAATACTTAATTTCTGATAAGGCAATGTAACTTTCCATTTCTGAAAAGCATCTGTCCTTTGTTTGTAATTCTAATACACCAGCGACCTCCAGCGACCTTCTTCAGAGGAGTCATGCAGAGGGGGTTATAGTTATTTACAGGTGGATTTTGAACGCAAACAAACAAACAAATAAATAAATGCTTCCTTGTTGATTAAGTTGACTCTCGACTCTCTCTCTCTGTCTCTCTCTCTCTCTCTCTCTCTCAGCAGGCCTACACCCAAACACACATACACAGACATTCTTGGAGTTTGCAGTTTACTATAGGCACACCTTTGAGTGAAGAGGGAAGAACCCTGCTGAGGGAAATAGGGGGGAAAAAAACAACTTAAACCAGCCTAAGGTGATTTGCTGGTTTTACATGGCCATCAGGTTTGTCAGACCAGGTGAACACCACCTTGACCAGGCCATCATAAACTTGTTGACACCAGCAAACCACTTAAATCTTTTTTTCAGCAGCCATTCTTAAATGTTCTGACATTTCGGCCCCCTCTGACCCTTATATCTGCAGGGAGGTGAAATCCTCCACCCAGGTTTAAATAACCGCAGAATCCAATCTGCTGTCAGACTTAACCTCCAGCAGATGGTAAAGCTCCAGAAGAAATGATTACATTTGAAAAAACAGGAGTTCCTCCGCTCTCGACTTCTTTTTAATTAACGGAGAGACGGATTAGTGCTCGGCTATCCGGGATCAGCCGTTCTTCAACAGAAGAATACAAATGTTTTTGGATAAATAATCCCCGGCGCATTTCACGGTGCCCGTCACATTAACATGCATTACACGAGCCCTTAAGCCCCGTTTCATCCGCCGGCTTATTGTCCACGGGGCGCGAGAGTGCCATTACTTTCACCACAAGCTCCATTTAAACTCACTCACGGTAACCTTGCAAAACCCCTGCCTGTCTCTATTGAATACTTTTCCTTAAAGGAAAGAGAGATGGAGGAAAATAAGTGACTAGAGTGTAAGAGATGGCCTTACATAGGCCTACAGAGAATAAAAAACACAGGGACTGAAAAGGATGAAAATCACATACACAAAAACATCAGAAAGTCAAATCTAGACACATCCATACTGTTGTTGTGAGATTTCACCCATTCAGTCTACTTTATATAACAAATGTAATCATAAATAAATAACGGATAAACGAAGCGGTATAACAGACTGCCAGTAAGATATTTTAAAAATATATCATCATCCTTCGTGCTATTCGGTTGTTTAGTTTCAAAAATTATCTTTGAGCGCCATCTGCTGTTCATATAGGGGTTCTTACAACAACGAGGAGTGAAACATTTTAAAGGGGTCATATGATGCTGCTAAAAAGAGCATTATTTTGTGTATTGTAACACTTCAAAGAGAAAGGAATAAATGAAATCGCATCATATGACCCCTTTAATGAAAGGGAATTCAATCTAATTTGTATTGCTTTCTTAAAATAAATATAAAAATGGCATATTCGTTTATGTCTTACATCTTAATTTTACTCGATTTTATAACTTAAAAACTAAAAATGTAGGCATACGTTTTAAAAAAGTGAATACATAGCCTACTGAGATTTAATCGCCGTTTACGGATACCATAGGAATGAATGAGAAGTGCCGTTAGATTCATACCGAACCAGCCTACCAAATTTATTACAAATCATTGACTGACAAAAGAGCAAGATCTCATGGCATCAAAAATGAAAACGTTGGACTGTGTCAATTTTATAAATCAAAAAGTAAAAATGTAGACCTGTCTTTTTTTTTTGTAATTGCGCAAGAAGTGAAGACTTATTGAGATTTAAGTATCATACCGTGCCCTTATTGCAGAGTTATTAAAAAGTATTGACTGACAATAGAGCAAGATCTCATGGCATTATACATATAAACGTTGGACAGCGCGCGAGGTACGATCTCCGGTTTCCCGACGGACGTGAGATGGTGATCTGGTCAATCAGAAGTCACCGCTGAGCCAAACCAACGCGAGAGCAAAACGACTGAAACGCAGTTAGCTCACAATGGGAACCTACATGTAACATACTTCTGGTTCTGGGGCTACAATTAAATCAGTAACACCTTTGCTATTTCATGAATTAGGCTATTTTAAAAGAAACATAAAATATCGAGCCAACATATATCGTAATTAATAAGTTTTGTAGTTTTGTAGTTTTAACATTTAAAAAACGACAGCTAGCTTGCCCTGCCCTGACATTTAAAAATATACAAATAGGCTATACATTTGTGTAACGGGATTTTTTACTTAAAATCTAGTTACTGAGATACAGACATTGGGACAACCCCGATCTGACCTACAGTACGATATTATCATAACACGGCCTTTAAAAGAAAAAAGACAAAAATCAGCACGAAAAGTTTACAGCAGAAAAAAATGTCATACCGGGTAACAGCTGCAATGGGAAGCTGTCAAATAACGTAGCACATCAGCAACAATCATGTGAGATGTGACCAGCAGTTTCATAGTCCATAGCCTACTGCATTTAATTGACCTCTCCGTGCGGTCAAAAACATTTGAAGTCAGTGAACAGATGATTAAGATTTTAACGGCACCAAAAAATGCAAAACGCTGGACAGAGCCCGTGGTTAGATCTCCGGCCATCGGTGAACCGTCGACCATGAGTTTCTTTTTGTGAGTAGAAGTAACCACTGAGCTACACCAGCGCAACATACACAGCACTGAGCAGATCCTTTAACTAGAATCACTGTAAACACGGAAGTCCAACGCTTAAACAACAGAAAGTGAAACTGCGAAACTACGAAACTGAAGACGATGGGCCTATTACAATAAAACAACAACACCCATCAAAACGCACGGTAATAACTCAGATGATTATAAACCTAGCAAGGTTTTAATAAAACTTCTGTTTCAATACGATGGACGCTTACAGGGTGATTTACACGGTCTTAGTGCTCCATCTAATGGACATATGTGGTTTTTACAGTGTTTTTTTTTTTTTTTTTACAAAACGACAGTTCTAAGTAGTATAGAAATTCTACAAATATCAGTAGAAAAAATATTCTGAAATATTGTTAGAATTCTAAATAACTGTTTTCAATTTGAATACATTTTTTATTCCTGTGACACAACGCTGAATTTTCAGCATCATTACTCCAGTCTTCAGTGTCACACAATCCTTCAGAAATCATTCTAATATGCTGATTTGCTGCTCAAGAAACATTTCTGATTATGTTGAAACAGGTGTGCTGCTTCATATTGGTATGGAAACTGTGGTAACTTTTTTCAGGATTCTTTGATGAATAGAATGTTTTTTAATAAATATTTTTGTAAAATGTAAACCTAACAACGTAAACATTGTAACAGTCTTTTACACTGTTACAATGTTTGCGTTGGTACATTTACATTTTGTCACTTTGTCACTAAAGACTTTTAGAGAAGAGAGAAAAGCTTGTGCAGCATTTAACACTTTATATTATGTTATCATATGCAAAGCCATTCATGCATTTTAAAGTGTGATTTAAATATGCAAATACTTTCTGGGGCCACTTTATGTCATAGTACTACAGTATCACCACCTAATACTGTATTTGTAAGGCTAGACAGGAAAGTTGATAATTAACTTGTTAATATATCACTATCCAAAAGAGGGCAGCAAAGACCACAGAATATCACCTGCACACATAGAGGTTGCTATTACAGATGCCGAGTTTCCTGTTTGCAGTTGTTTTTCCACACACCTATATGAAATACATCACATCAGTCTTCAGACAGCTAATGTGTTTGACACTCTCAGTTTTTTGGCAGGTCTTTGAGAATGAAACAGATTCCACACAGACCCGAGCTCTGTAAAAGAACATTAATAAATGCTTTTATCCAAAATGACTTGCACCATATTCAAGATTGTTCATGCATTCTCAGGGAGCCAAACCTGACCTTGGTGTTGCAAACATTATGCTCTTCAACTTGAGCTACTGAAACTCCCACAACCTAGAAGAAAATTGTACATTTTAAGCATAATTTTCTTTCCTTAAACGAAAAAGACATTTATCTTAAAGAGAAACAGACACGTATTAGTTGAAAGTAACAGTATAGAGGCATACAGTAAGATTTTGATTATATTTGAGTTTCCATTGAGATCTCTGATTTTTGATTGCAGACTTTAGTATCTAGTTAAATCTGAGCACAGTTTGAGTTTTACTGAAGAGAAACATAAGCAGGAGAGTGCAGAAAAAGTCTCCATTAAATCTAATTTCTGCTTAGAAGAAACAACTGAGATATTAAAGAGATCTCATTTGTGATTTTTCTTTCCTACGGGTACATGAACCAGAAAGCGGCCTGTGTGTGTGTGTGTGCGCGAACACCCCCTGTGGGGTGATAACCTGTAATTACTGCACCAGATGTGAACGAAAAATGGGAGAGACAGAGAGAGAGAGAGAGAGACAGACTATAAAATATTGCAAAGATGGAAAGTGAAAGACTGTTCCAAAACCTAGTTGTCTTGCGCTCTACTGCTACACAGGTAGTTTTAGCATGTTGCTAAATTAATGATATTCTAATAAGTATAAAAAAAAAAATACATACACACAAATACATTTTTTTTTAGACTGAACTACTTTTTTTCTCCCACTGAGCTCATTGCAATGCATTGAAATTCACGAGTTTGCACTTACATGTAAGAGTGAGGAGTTGGGGTGGAGGAAGGATGCCGGAAAACTGTTGTGGGACAGAGGTGAGTTGACTGTATATATATATATATATATATATATATATATTGTGCTAGTTAAAGGCACAATATGTAATTTTCACCGCTAGAGGGCGCATATTCAAAATAAACAAATAGACAAAGGCGTAGTTTGATGACGCAGTGACTGAGTGTGGAATCATGGGAGTTGTCGTCTTCATCCACACAGCCGATGCAATCCGACGGGACTCGGAC